CGAAAATCGAAAAAAAAACATACATACATACATACATTCATACACACATACATACAAAAAAAAAAACGATGTTATAATAAAATATAGTTAAATAAAATACTATAGTAAAATAAAATACTAATTAAAATGGTTTTGTTTTTTTTTGTTTTTTTTGCAGGGTACTACAGTAATCATGGCAGCAGACTTACCATCAGTTGGCTTGAAACCAAAGGGCTCTGCAACAAAGTGTGGTTTGGGATCAGCTGGCTCTGGGTCCGGCTCTGAGTCCTCTTGTAGAGGCACAAATGGCTCAACTCTGGTCTTGCAGCAGCAGCAGCAGCAGAAGGAGGACCACTTTAAGGCCTTCCATGTTTTCTTGAAGAATGAAGAGATCCCTTTCATCATCTTCTTCCTCAAACTGGTATGTTTTTCTAAAACAACAAAAATCATTCAGTTAATAGATTTGTTCAAAAAGACTGAATCATCCTCATATGCTAGTATACTGTGCTTGTATTTACCATCTACATAAATGTCCCAGGTTCCAATGTGATTTCAGTCTCACCTGTGCTGTTCTCTGCAGTGTCTACAGGAGGCACCTCTTTGTCACTCTGCGCCTCCAGGCTCATTGAAGGTCCTGTTGGGTACATGTTCCTGCAATCTGAACATGCACAGGTTTCTCTAGCAGGACCATTCTGCCAAGCGCCACTTCGTTCCTCAGTGGAGGATATGTCGGTGCTAATACTTAACAGATCCAGGCTACTGTCAGTTCCACCTTCACCTATGAAGAGGTTGTTGGTGCTGTTAAAGCTCCATTCACCCAGCCTATGGACCGGTTTTCTTCTCTGGATGGAGGACGGGCCACAAATGATCACACAACAGCCATCTTCGGATGTGTCGCTGCTAAGGCTGCACTCATCTAGGCAATCAGCATCTTCTGTCTAATTGCAACAGGTTACAAAACAGAGTTAGTATTGTGAGCATGTTGAAGCATGTAAGATCTCAGTATCAAATTTTTAAGGTTTAAGAATCTACAATCTATAAATTAATCATCAACAGATGTTTTCATCAAGACACAACTTTATATCTAAAATCAATATATTTGTAGAATTCAGTAAGAGTACCTGTTTGCCATTAGATGAAGGGATTTCCTCATTCACTGTGCTAAAGCCTCCTGATGCAGCAATTCTCATTTCATAGCCAAACTTGTCAGATCCTGAAAAACACACATGCATAAACAACGTTATAATCATTTTTTTGTGTACAACAAGACAAAAATACAGATTTAAAGGGGTTATGAACTGAGAAATCAAAATTCCCCTGATCTTTTGACACATAAGAGGTCATTGTACTATAAAAACATCCTGTAAGTTCCAGAACTTTTTGTTAGTCTAAAAACAGTGTATATTGAAGCCGATCTGCCAAAACGACAGGTTGTGGAATGTGCCACTTTATGATGTAATAGTGTGGCTAAACACCACACTGCCTGTTTAGCCCCGCCCACCGATTCACACACATAGTGTAAATAACGAGAGAGACAAACACAGGTCTACGTATAAACCAAACTATAAAGATGGCTCCGAAGACAACAAGATTCTGTGCAGTGCCAAGCTGTGGAAAAACACAACCTTTGCATCGCCTTTCTTCTGATCCTAACATTAGGAAAGAGTAAATGAACTTCATTTTTAATTAAGATCCAGACCGCATCAGTGAGAACTTGGTCCTTTGATCACTTCATTTTACAGCGGATTCGTTTACAAACAAGGTACAATTCGACACAGGATTTTCAGAAAGATTGAAACTAAAAGACGATGCTTTGCAGACTATATTGGATCCGACAGTAATGTCGCAACACACAAGTGTGAGTAACTGTTTGAATTACGTGGTCATTATTGCTTTTTCTGTTATTAAAGATTATTTGATATGTACTGAGGATTTATGCATTTACACCTAAATCACAGCAGCATCCATCTGTGTAGGATGTAGGCTGTCAAACATACACAACTGTTAGCCAATCATAGCAGTGGGTGTTTACTTCTGAGTCTACAATCCGCCACGTCTATTCAAACAGAGTGCAATGAGGGGGGTCAAAAACAGGACAGAAAATAGCCTATTTTAAATTATGATGATTTTGATGTAAAAATCTTGATAACATTATAAGTGGACCTCAGAAAACAGTACAAAATAATAAAAAGGCAGTTCATGGCCCCTTTAAAATGTAGTTTTTGCAGGGTACCATAGTAATACTAGCAGCACACTCACCATCAGTTGGTTTGAAACAAGAGGGCTCTGCAGGACATGATGAATCTGCACCGTCTGGCTCTGTGACTTCTGGTGAACAGAGTGAAGGATGCTTTATAGCCTTCCATGCCCTCTTGAAGAATGAACAGATCCTGTTCTTCACTTTCTTCCTTAGACTGATATAGTTTTCTAAAATGAAGAAGCATTCACTTAATTGATTTGTTCAAAAAGACATTCAAGCACATGACCCCTCAGAATTTTGAGCTAAATCGACTTTGAATTCAGTTTGCAAAAGACAAAAAATATATATATTTTACATTTAATAAAGATGTTCTGTGATTATTGTAGTAGGCACAAAATGAATATAGCCCCAAAGTTGCCCCAGAGTTTTTGCATAAGCTACAGGTGGTTGGGGGAATCAGTATAGAGCCTCACACATGATATGCAGGGGGAAAAAATATATATATACAATTTCAAGGACAACACAGAACAGTCAGATACATATATATTTTTTATTTAGGGATGGATTTTTTTCCTATAAAGAACAAATAGTTCTGCTGTCCATACATGAAAATGGTAGGCGATCACTAGTGCCCCCTCAAAAAAACTTTATGATGCTCCTGGTATGTTGGTTGCAGACTCGCAATGCTTTGGCTTTGTTGGTAAACTATTTTAATTGGCCGTGTTTCTGATTATTATCCGTGCTGAAAACAGTTGTGCTGCCCAATATTTTTGTGGAAACCATGATACATTTTCTAAAAAACAACTCAACAGGTTATATTGTGTTTACATTTAATTTACTCTAACTTCTTGTGACTGACAGTAAAAACCAATATCACATGAGCGGAGTGCTTTTGTTTTAAACATCAGCACGGTTGTAATTAGGCCTACATGCATTTATTTAAAATTGCTTCTAGATATGCTAAATATGCAACAATGTAAAGGAATCTTAAATATGAGACAGAGAGTCTGTTGCGGGGGTCTTTATACTCAAGTGCTTCTAGATACTTGTTCCAAATTTCCAATGTAATTTCAATCTTACCTGCACTGTTGTCCTCAGAGTCTACAGATGACACTCCTATAGATGTAGACTCTATAGAAGATGCTTCTTTGTCACTATGGACATCCATGCCAACCGAAGGCCCTGCTGCTTCTATAGAACTGGAGGATGTATGGGGGGGATTGAGGGATGTGTTGCACATTGGAGGACGGTGGGCGATTAGGGTTTCACATGAGGACATGCTGCTAATGCTCAGCAAACCCAGACTATCATCACATCCTCTGTTATGCATTAACATGCTGCCGCAACACATTTGCGAATTCTGCCTACTGACAAATGATCCCTCGTCGGAGTGCGATTCAAAGCTGACCACACTCGCCTCAATTTCATCTTCAGATGTGGCACTGCTAAGACTGGACTCCTCTATGTAATCATTACCATCTATCTCATCATAGACATTGATAGTGCCTAGATTGAACACATCCAGCCTATTGAAACATTCTAACTCAGTGGATAATGTGTCTCTCCTGGACCCATGAAGGCCATCAGGGACACCTTCACTCTCAGCTACACTGAACTCGGATGATGTCATTGACATGATGTCCAGTAGAGCAGTCAAATCTGAAAACTCTGTAGACTGTGAAAATACTTTGTTTATGTATGTATACTTATTGTAGAATACTGTCACAAGCTTTCACACTATAACTTATTAAATGCAAGTCGTTTTGAAATAAAGCGTCAGCCAAATGCCTAAATAAATGTAAATATCAACTTGCTCCCGGTGTCTGATACTGATATGAAGCACTGTGACGTAATGGAATGTTAATTAGCTGAAATTCAAATAATGCGAAACTTGAAATACGCGCAGTTCGAGTAAGGCGCCAGCATGAATTATAATATTACACACACACACACACACACACACACACACAAATATATATATATATATATATATATATATATATATATGTGTGTGTGTGTGTGTGTGTGTGTGTGTGTGTGTGTCATAGACGCTCGTGACGCCGACTCCCTTTAAATAAAGATCAATTTCAATAGAATTTCGCATTTTATTTTCATAAAAGAGTATCTTCAACTATGGGAAGAGATTTTTGGTCCCCCCCAAGTCAACCAACAGTAGCCTACTGATGCGATTTGGAACTTCGTTAAAAAGATTAGGCTTTATAAGCTCATTCACTCTTTCCTTGTTCCTTTAGGATGTTAACAAGTATGTTTTTTTTAGAACGTTACAAGTTTATACTAGAAATTATACAAAATTAGAAAATCAATTATACAACTATGAATATGATTAACCAAGAGTGGAATTAGCATAACGTGTTAAAATATAGCTATCATGATTTTTATACGAATTACGATGGTCGGTAAATTGTTTTATTTCCATTACTAGCAGCCATCCTAATAAAGTGTTGCCAATAGCCTACTGTAGGCTAGGCCTACTTGTCTATGAACAACATGCTCGATTTATCAAATGCTTAGTCTGATGTATGAGAAACTTGGGGGAAAGTCATTAATAATCTCTGTAAAATTCGGCAAAGAATAAGACACTTTTTAAAATTTGTTAAATGAAGGGATTCTTAGTCAGCACCAAAGATTCTCATAGTAGCCTAGTACAAGTCATATAAATTCTGTACGAGTTTTGATCTTCCCTTTGTTTCCATACGGCCCGCGGCGCTTATCTCCGCGATCATAGGAACGGATAGATAGATGCATAGACATAAATAAATACTTGATTTATTAAGTCTATTGGATAGATGCAGGAGTTTTCTTCGCCGCTGGATGTCGCTGCTTGAGCAGGTACGCGTGTGAATATCAGCCGAGGAAACGGTAATAATGGCGGCGACCTGTTCGTGGGAACCATGTGAAGAAACAGGGCAGGATGCTCTTATTGGTAACTTTTTAATATCCAAAACATGATAGATATACTAAAATATATTTTTGGCGTTATTCGTCCATTCTAATTTATTATTCTTACATTTCATCTTTGTGTTTAACGCACCCACGTGGATATACGTCATGCTCGCGTGTAAACCATAAACAATGTATATGGTTAAAGTCAAATAGTTTGTAGGTTAAAATAGTCTTGAATCGTTGTCGGTTGTTTGCTGTTGGGTCATTTCTCTATTTTAAACCTAATTCTTGTCATTGTAGTTAAATTTTCTAATGGACACGTGAAAAAAGCAGAAGAGCTGGACTTCAAACTCTTCAAACACTCAGATGGTATCAATCCCAGAAAGAAAACCCGACGCATTGTGGTAAAACAGCTTATGTAGATTGAAAAGTTTTTGTTTTAGGGTCTTTGTAATGGTTAAGTAAGTAAATCTGGTGTATCTGGTGTTCAGAAATATTTCATGTTCCCTTGTTAGGTTGCAGAATCAGACAGGCTTCCCTATGTTGGGAGCAATTTTGGGTCTGGATCATTACAGTGTAATAATCTGTGCAGGTGAAGTTATCAAGCTTTATGAATATTGACTAGTTAAACAATATTTCTCTGTCTCTGATTAATGGGATTGTAATTGTTATTAACAGGTGTTTTGTGGGAGTACTTGACAAGAGAACTATGAAAATGAAAGTTCATAATGCTCAGCTGTTCAATATGCTTCCTGTTATACCAGGTAAATATGGTACATCTGTAATATTTCTTTCAGGGCTCCTCAGGTCATGGAAGTATCAGAAACTTTAAAAATGGTTGTTTCTCTGGTCTTGAAAAGTCATTGACTATAATAATAATCTATCAAATCAAATCAGAGAAAGTCATGGAAATGTATTAGTTATAATGTTTGCAAACTCCTTGTTTTATGATCGTGGCTCCTCTGTAATCTTTAATCCCTTTATGTTTAACAGTAATGTCTACAAACTAAATAGTCCACAACAGAGACCGGAGCCATGTGCATTATGACTTGTTAGGTTAGACAGGATGTCAACGAAAGAGAAGTTCATTGTTGAGTCTGTGTTTGTGTCTTTAGGTGAATCAGCAGTAAATGAAAACACAAAGCAAGCTGATACATACAGAGAAAAGGTGAGTAACTGGTAACTGATTTTTATTTTTTTTAATTATATAATTTATGTATGGGTCAATGTCCAAGGTAAACAAAAAGGAAAGGTTTAGATTAAAATGCATATGCCAAGTTCTTAGAAATGTATTCTTTGTATTCATGCTTGTTTCACACGTTAAAAAACATTTAGACCATTATCAAGGTAAAAAGTACTCTTTGTAAATATGAATGTATTTACAAATATTATTATTATTATTATTATATCTTTGGGGGAGTCACAAGACATTTTACATGAACTAACCTTGCCTTATTGTTTCTGAAATACTAACATCGGCATGAAAGTTATTAAAATGAAGTTGTGATTGTATTTCTTCCCTATTGTTATGTGTTTCTAAGTAAAAGGCTTCTTGAAAAAGAAAAATGGAACTTGATTTTGTCCTTCAGGAATTGGCTGGAATATTGAATCACCGGTACATACATCAACAGAGAATAAATGCTGTTTCAAATCTTTAATGATGTGCACAGATAAATCATTTATAATAAAAAATTACATTTTGTTTTCATGGCCACTTTAAGGTACTTGTTCTTGACACTGAAATTTGATGATCCGCAAAGGTCATCTCTATGATATTTCCTGTTTTATATATATTTTTTCTGCATGTTGTTTCCACCACATGACTGATTTGATGCACTAAAATCTAAATATTTTAATTATTAAAATTACAAAATGAAAAAAATAATAATAATAATATGCCAAACTACCTAAAGTTAAAGAATTGTATCTTTTTGAAATTGAAGGTTTTTGCTTCATTATAAGGACAATTGAATCCCCCTCAGAGACTTTTGTATTTTTTGAGCCTCCACCCCCCAAAATATCAAAATGAACTTAAGAAATAAAAAATCTCATAGAACAATCATAGAAGAGGGTGATATATGTGTAAATTGCATTTTTTATGTATATTTAAATAAATCATTGGTGTGTATTCTGTGTCTGATCACAGGTGGATGCTCTCATTGAAGCTTTTGGGACAACTAAACAGAAGCGTGCTCTGAGCTCCAGGAGACTCAACGAAGTGGGCAACGAGACTCTTCAGCAGGCTGTGGCACTGGCTGCTACCAATGTCATAAATCAGAAAGGAGTGGAAGGTAAGTAGCTATATGAGTTTTCAAAATTTCTATGAATAAAATGTACATTAAAAAGTATTGTTGACATTGGCTCTTCGATCCTGTCTCTAAGCTCTGCGTAATGAAGTGGTTGAAACTGAGGCTCAGACAGATACAGCCCTCTTCCTCCCTTCATGCAACACTGAGGCAGACAAAGCAGAAGATGTGTACCCCTTTGATTTTTTTTAGAACGTTACAAGTTTATACTAGAAATTATACAAAATTAGAAAATCAATTATACAACTATGAATATGATTAACCAAGAGTGGAATTAGCATAACGTGTTAAAATATAGCTATCATGATTTTTATACGAATTACGATGGTCGGTAAATTGTTTTATTTCCATTACTAGCAGCCATCCTAATAAAGTGTTGCCAATAGCCTACTGTAGGCTAGGCCTACTTGTCTATGAACAACATGCTCGATTTATCAAATGCTTAGTCTGATGTATGAGAAACTTGGGGGAAAGTCATTAATAATCTCTGTAAAATTCGGCAAAGAATAAGACACTTTTTAAAATTTGTTAAATGAAGGGATTCTTAGTCAGCACCAAAGATTCTCATAGTAGCCTAGTACAAGTCATATAAATTCTGTACGAGTTTTGATCTTCCCTTTGTTTCCATACGGCCCGCGGCGCTTATCTCCGCGATCATAGGAACGGATAGATAGATGCATAGACATAAATAAATACTTGATTTATTAAGTCTATTGGATAGATGCAGGAGTTTTCTTCGCCGCTGGATGTCGCTGCTTGAGCAGGTACGCGTGTGAATATCAGCCGAGGAAACGGTAATAATGGCGGCGACCTGTTCGTGGGAACCATGTGAAGAAACAGGGCAGGATGCTCTTATTGGTAACTTTTTAATATCCAAAACATGATAGATATACTAAAATATATTTTTGGCGTTATTCGTCCATTCTAATTTATTATTCTTACATTTCATCTTTGTGTTTAACGCACCCACGTGGATATACGTCATGCTCGCGTGTAAACCATAAACAATGTATATGGTTAAAGTCAAATAGTTTGTAGGTTAAAATAGTCTTGAATCGTTGTCGGTTGTTTGCTGTTGGGTCATTTCTCTATTTTAAACCTAATTCTTGTCATTGTAGTTAAATTTTCTAATGGACACGTGAAAAAAGCAGAAGAGCTGGACTTCAAACTCTTCAAACACTCAGATGGTATCAATCCCAGAAAGAAAACCCGACGCATTGTGGTAAAACAGCTTATGTAGATTGAAAAGTTTTTGTTTTAGGGTCTTTGTAATGGTTAAGTAAGTAAATCTGGTGTATCTGGTGTTCAGAAATATTTCATGTTCCCTTGTTAGGTTGCAGAATCAGACAGGCTTCCCTATGTTGGGAGCAATTTTGGGTCTGGATCATTACAGTGTAATAATCTGTGCAGGTGAAGTTATCAAGCTTTATGAATATTGACTAGTTAAACAATATTTCTCTGTCTCTGATTAATGGGATTGTAATTGTTATTAACAGGTGTTTTGTGGGAGTACTTGACAAGAGAACTATGAAAATGAAAGTTCATAATGCTCAGCTGTTCAATATGCTTCCTGTTATACCAGGTAAATATGGTACATCTGTAATATTTTTTTCAGGGCTCCTCAGGTCATGGAAGTATCAGAAACTTTAAAAATGGTTGTTTCTCTGGTCTTGAAAAGTCATTGACTATAATAATAATCTATCAAATCAAATCAGAGAAAGTCATGGAAATGTATTAGTTATAATGTTTGCAAACTCCTTGTTTTATGATCGTGGCTCCTCTGTAATCTTTAATCCCTTTATGTTTAACAGTAATGTCTACAAACTAAATAGTCCACAACAGAGACCGGAGCCATGTGCATTATGACTTGTTAGGTTAGACAGGATGTCAACGAAAGAGAAGTTCATTGTTGAGTCTGTGTTTGTGTCTTTAGGTGAATCAGCAGTAAATGAAAACACAAAGCAAGCTGATACATACAGAGAAAAGGTGAGTAACTGGTAACTGATTTTTATTTTTTTTAATTATATAATTTATGTATGGGTCAATGTCCAAGGTAAACAAAAAGGAAAGGTTTAGATTAAAATGCATATGCCAAGTTCTTAGAAATGTATTCTTTGTATTCATGCTTGTTTCACACGTTAAAAAACATTTAGACCATTATCAAGGTAAAAAGTACTCTTTGTAAATATGAATGTATTTACAAATATTATTATTATTATTATTATATCTTTGGGGGAGTCACAAGACATTTTACATGAACTAACCTTGCCTTATTGTTTCTGAAATACTAACATCGGCATGAAAGTTATTAAAATGAAGTTGTGATTGTATTTCTTCCCTATTGTTATGTGTTTCTAAGTAAAAGGCTTCTTGAAAAAGAAAAATGGAACTTGATTTTGTCCTTCAGGAATTGGCTGGAATATTGAATCACCGGTACATACATCAACAGAGAATAAATGCTGTTTCAAATCTTTAATGATGTGCACAGATAAATCATTTATAATAAAAAATTACATTTTGTTTTCATGGCCACTTTAAGGTACTTGTTCTTGACACTGAAATTTGATGATCCGCAAAGGTCATCTCTATGATATTTCCTGTTTTATATATATTTTTTCTGCATGTTGTTTCCACCACATGACTGATTTGATGCACTAAAATCTAAATATTTTAATTATTAAAATTACAAAAAGAAAAAAATAATAATAATAATATGCCAAACTACCTAAAGTTAAAGAATTGTATCTTTTTGAAATTGAAGGTTTTTGCTTCATTATAAGGACAATTGAATCCCCCTCAGAGACTTTTGTATTTTTTGAGCCTCCACCCCCCAAAATATCAAAATGAACTTAAGAAATAAAAAATCTCATAGAACAATCATAGAAGAGGGTGATATATGTGTAAATTGCATTTTTTATGTATATTTAAATAAATCATTGGTGTGTATTCTGTATCTGATCACAGGTGGATGCTCTCATTGAAGCTTTTGGGACAACTAAACAGAAGCGTGCTCTGAGCTCCAGGAGACTCAACGAAGTGGGCAACGAGACTCTTCAGCAGGCTGTGGCACTGGCTGCTACCAATGTCATAAATCAGAAAGGAGTGGAAGGTAAGTAGCTATATGAGTTTTCAAAATTTCTATGAATAAAATGTACATTAAAAAGTATTGTTGACATTGGCTCTTCGATCCTGTCTCTAAGCTCTGCGTAATGAAGTGGTTGAAACTGAGGCTCAGACAGATACAGCCCTCTTCCTCCCTTCATGCAACACTGAGGCAGACAAAGCAGAAGATGTGTACCCCTTTGACCAACGTATCCTTTTTTTGTTCTCTATATGCTTCTCCATGTTTTATCACGCCTCTCCACAGCGTTTTTTGTGTCAAGATCCTTAACTTCCTTCTAGTTTTGTCTCCAAATGAGTTTGATTCTCTGAAGGATGTTGGAGCAAAGATGGCAGCGCTGACCCCTGAAGACCTGCTGAAGATGAGAGCTGAGAACTGGTATGGAGAACATCATGTGTTTGACAAGTGTTTTTTTTGTTTTTTTAATTATTAATACTAATTATAACGTGCATATACCATTCAAAAGTTTTTGGTTGGTAAGAAATTTTTATTTACATGTATTTGAATGCTTACCAAGGCTGCATTTGTTTGATTGAAAATACAGTAATGTTGTGAAATATTATTACAGTTTAATTTAACTGTTGTCTATTTAAATATATTTTAAATTGTAACTTATTCCTGTGATGATGAAACTACATTTTCATTACTTTAGTCTTCAGTTTCACATGATCCTTCAGTAACCATTCTAATAGGCTGATTTTGTGCCTCAGGAGCAGTTTTTATTATATATATATATATATATATATACACACACACACACTACTGCTCAAAAGTTTGGGATCAGTAAGACTTGTAATGTTTTTTAAAGAAGTCTCTTCTGCTCAAGGCTGCATTTATTTGATCATAAATACAGAAAAAAAAACAGTAATCTTGCAAAATGTTATTACAATATAAAATAATGGTTTCTATTTTAATACACTTTAAAATATAATTTATTTCTGTGATGCAAAGCTGAATTTCCATCAGCATAAAGTGTCACATGATCCTTCAGAAATCATCTAGATCAGGGATCCTCAAATCTGACCCACGAGATCCACTTTCCTGCAGAGTTTAGCTCTAACCCTAATCAAACACACCTGAGCATACTAATCAATGTCTTCGGGATCATTAGAAAATCACAGGTAGGGGACTTTGATCAGGGTTGGAGCTAAACTCTGCAGCGCATTGGCCCTCCAGGGCAAGATTTGAGGAACCCTGATCTAGATTTACTAGATCATCTAGATTGTACTTCCAATTTTGATCAATGTAATAATTTTAATATAACTTGCTTAATAAAAATATTAATTTGTCATATTTTCACAAATATTCATAAATTATTCATAAAAATATTTCTGATGCCATATATAAATTATAAAAACAACGTCATTACAGTAATTTTTTCCATGATTTTTTAGGATCACCATTAATCTGGAAATATTAGCAAACAAAATTGTTTTCCAGCCGTGCAAAAGTCCTGCAAAAAATAATTGTGCTTAAGTTTAATTCACTTAAGATTTTATTTATTTTCAAAATTCTTGGAAATGGCTGGAAAGGCATAAAAATGAATTGGTTTTCAGGTTTGGAAAGTCTGCTGGAAGCTATTTTGGCTCCAGATCAGTTCTAAATTCTTATTTTTATACATCCAGTTGTGTTCTCTAGTCCACAGACTGTTCTTAGACATCTTGAATTCCTTCCCAAAGAGGATGCAGCTCGTGACAGACAGTCTCGATGTGCCTGGTACCTGTCCTTCCTTATCAAAGCCTCGCTACAGAAACGTCTCTCCTTCAAATGTGAGTGTAAAAGAAACAAAGAATTCATTACTGTGTCTCTGCAACTAGTTCAGCTCATTTTATATGGCCATTGTGTTTTTTTAAAGAGCACCTATTATGCAAAATTCACTTTTAAATGTTGTTTAAACATAAATATGTGTTGGCAGTGTGTGTACACAACCACCCTATAATGATACAAATCCACCCGCTCTTTTTTTTTTTTTATCCCCATGAGTCATAAGCAGTGTCTCAGAACAAGCCCTTTGCAGAATCCGTAAAATGTAAAACCACATTTTACAAGCCCCACCCACGACTTTTGACGG